CTCCGAGGGCGGCCGAGCTCCGCGCTCCCCCGCGGCCCCTAGCGCGGTAGACGACACGGGGCCGAGGCCCACGGAGGGTTTCAAAGAGATGTGGCCTGGATGCTGTAGCGTTGTTAGTTTGAATGACTTTCGGATATGTAGATGTGTGTAGTGACTTGAAAAATGTGTTTTCCAGCATGGTACAGGTCATGGCTTTCGGTAGGATTTCAGATCAGATTTCAAGGGTTGGGGCAGCCTTGAAAGTAAGGGGCCTCTGGTCCACCTGCTTGACTTAACTATTCGCTTTGAGCAAATTCTGGGGTTTCAGCTGACTGCTAAGTGTAATTCGTATGAGACCAGGTAGAGGTTATATGCCTAATAGATAAGCAGAGAAAGAAGTAACAGTGACTGAAGCAATTTTCTAGCCTTTAAGGATCATCAGGTTCAGTTAATCTCGTCTCTCACCAGATTAAGACCCTTATGTGGTACGATAATACCAGCTTTATTCAGTGTTTATATATTTGTGTCCTTGTGCACAAATAATCATTGACATAATTTTGCAACTTTTTAGTTTGAAATTTGGGACACTGGGAAAACTAGTAGTAGGCAGGGTTGAGTAGTAACGTTGTTTAGCAGGCCTTTCCCAGGTGGTCTTGAATGCTTAGCTGATTTAATCTTCAGGTGTAACTCTTTGTATACCCATAGGTTGTTCAAAAATATTTAAGTATGTGAGTTTGATTTGAACGTGTCAAGATGTAGAATATGTACATTAAACCCTTGTTATCAATTTTAAAAAATAAGAGTATGGCAATAAATAATGATTCATGGTAAATTAGTGTGTTTTTCAATTTTGAAACATTAATTGAGTAGTCAGTAGTTTCCAAAGTCTTGTATCTCTATAATTTTCCACATTCCACATTATATAACATTGCCACATAGTAAATGGGCTATTACAGGACATAGGAAAAAGGGAAATTTGGGGAAAGCCTTAATGTCCTCTTCTTTAATGACCCCTTTTTTACATACTTAGTTTCTGAGTAATTATGAGCAAATGGCATAATAAAGCATGAAGACTAATTTTCCAATACCATAGTAAGGAGGTGAAAAAACAGTGAGCTGGCTATTTGTTGGAGTCGAACAAATTTATTGGGCATCACATGCTAGGAATACTAGATTATTTGCACAGTAGGTAGATACTTTTTCAGTTTGACTTTAAATGTCTTACACACTGTGCACTGTTGACACCAGTACTTTGTGCGTTAAAGAAGTTAAGGTTATGGTCCAGGCATTTAGCTCAGTGGTGTCACCATCTGCCTTGCAAACACAAGGTCCTGAGTTCAATCCCCTGTATCCCCCCCCAAGAAGTTAAAGTTTTTATTGAATTTAATTAAATTTTGGTTTTCTTAGTAAGATTATTTGGGGAATGTTTACAAAGATACGTAATTATTTACATAGGCTTAACAGTTCTTACGGTTTTGTGAATGCTGGTTGATGTAACAGTTTGTGCCTTGTGAGTGAAAAGATTGGAGAAGCTGGGAAAGGTGCTGAGAGGTTTGTGTTGTGATTAAAATATTGGAATTTGGGAACCCTGACTGGGAAGAGGAAAAGTTTGAGAGACCTTTGCCAGTCAGTATTTACAATAGGGATTCTTTACCTGAAGGCTTTGTCTTTGGAGAGAGGTGAGTGGAACGTTGGCGTCAGTGGAAGGATCTAAGCAGAAAAAGATAGTTGTGTTTTCTTTTGAAGTGAATACTTCTCTGTTATAGATTCTTGCTACCACATGCATCCTCAGGACTTGCCCTGTTTTGGTGTTTGTGGGCATTGATAGCTGAAATTAAAAAAAAAAAAGGAAAATGTGAGGGTAAAGAATACCCCAAAGCATAAGAGTATGCAAGCAGTGCATTATTAGACACTTTTTTGGCAGAATTTTAGAAACCTGACAAAAGCCATCTCAATAGGGGCTGGGTATGTAGCTCAGTGGCAACCGGGCCTGCCTGGCAAGCACAAGTTCCTGAGTTCGATCCCCAGTACCCCAAAAAACCCCATCCCAATAATACTAACTGTATATGTTTATAAGTCTCTTATTTGTATCAAAAATATGTAGACTATCCCCTTATTGTGCTTTATAAACAATAGAACTTAATTATTGAATTATTAATTATTGAATTTCTTTGTGTTTGTAACTGTTGGGAAACCATAGTGACTATAGTAATAGCACTGGCTCCCCTCTGTAAGACATTGTTTCACTGATAATGTTTGTTATGATAGGAAAACAGGCTCTTCTCATTCTTCACTTCAAAACTTGCTTCTCAGGCTGTGGTTACAGCTCTGTGGTAGAGTGCTTGCCTACCCATGCCCCAGGCCCCGGGTTCATCCCAAGCACCACCAACAAAACAAACAAAATGAAAAACTTGGCTCTTATATGAAGTGCCTTTTAAGCTCCTAGAATGGAGGAACTTGTTTGTATCCTTTTAACTACCCCCCAACACCTAGAACAGTACTCTTCCCTGTTTCCATTTAGAGACCCCAAGTACCTTTAAGTGTAGGAGGCAAAGTCTGCCGCTGACATTGAGCTCTTTGAACATTAACTGCTTATACTGCATTCTTCTTGGCTGTATATTGTTACATAAGTGCTTCATGTAGTGTTTCCCCATTCAAAATATTACCTCCTGAAGGCCAATTAATATGTATTTATACAATACTAGTTTTGAGAACTGCCTTGGTATCCAGTGTTAGGTACACAGAATAGGTTTAAATTATTGATTGTGCAAAATGGAAATATTGAAGGTAATTAAAACCATAGGTACACATTAGGTGGACAAACTTTGTGCCACCTATGAAACCAAATAAGAATTTGAAGCTAAGTAAAACGTAATAATACCAGATATTAGGTAGTGCTTTAAATGTGCCAAATGTGCCAGGCCCCTTGACATGTTTATTTGAATCTCACAACAATCCTATGAAGTAGTACAGTTATTCTGTTTGTCAGATGAGGCAGTGGAGGCACAGTAGCTGTTTTCTAGCCCAAGATTATGACACAGGTAATAAAGAGGCAGCCTAGATCTCATCAGTGTGGCTTCTCTGGGAAGTTTTACTTTTTATTTCAAAGAGAGATCTCCATTTACACAGAGTTTACATCTGTAAAAGATGCTGTTTTTAAAATTTCAAAGTAGTTTAAAGTTGCAGTGGCTCTGAACTGCAGAAACAACATAGGATTTTCCAAATAGAAGTTGATGACGAAATGGTCAAAGGGACTCAAGATGCGGAAAGAAGCTGAATTGCGTCTCAAGGGATTTTTAACTCTATAGCTGTTGGACTTTAGATAATGATTCACCAGGATGCAGAATAATGACTTTTACTGCTAATTTAATGTCAGAACTAATACCAAATAGCAGGAGTGATCGCCAATACCTGTAATCCAAGCACTCTGGAATACTGAGTCAGGAGGATCACAACAAGCTGGCCAGCTTAGTGATTTATGGACACCATATCTCATTATTAAAAAAAAGAAATATAACTCAGTGCAAAGGCTCTGGGTTCAAACCCTGGCACTATAAAATTAAAAAAACCCTCACCTTATCCCAAATAAAATATTATAAATGACACTTGATACTTTACTGCATTTTTTAAAAAATGTTTACTAGATTTAAAATTCTGATGGTGATAATTTCTCGTGATATTGGTGTTTCTGATGGCTTCTCACACACTTCTGTCCGTTTGCTTTGTCTATGGAATTCTCATCCATTTTTTCAGTTTGTCTTGAGCGACAAGGAATACTGAGTGAGGGTCAGGAGGCGTTTCCTAGCCAAGTAATATTTTTTGGTGGGAGAAGATGTAAAATTATGCATTGCATTAGTGATTGATAGACCTGGATTAGTCACTTTGAAGTTATATGGACTTAGATGAGGGCCTACAAACAAGATGCAGCAAGATGAAGAAAAATGATATTCTCCAAAAGCCCAATTACGTATTCTTTTCGTTGTGAGCTGATTGTTACTTCGGAGGTGTGGGGCATCCACAAACCCCTGACCCCGGATGATTTCACAGATGGGGGAGTAGACACATCACCACAGCTGTTGTCCAGGAATCGGGGGAAATGCCCTTGAGTGAAGCGTGGGCCATAGACCTTCTTAGCAGCCAGGGTGGATGCAAGCTTTGCAGGTATAGTATTCTGTATTACAGGCCATTTCCACTGGGAAGGCTGTTCTGTCATTGTCTTGGGTTGCTTCAGATTTTCAGTCAGTGAAGAAATGACATGTGTTGCTATCATTTTAACATCACCTATTTGGAGGTGGCCTACATATAAGCAACCTACAAATATGGCCCACAGCTTGTATTCTATTTAATATCCTAGGAACTGACTGAAAATCTGAGTGGAAGTGATCTATATTGAAGTGTTTACCCAATTGGCATGTTTGAAGTAACTGCAGACCCTTTCTGAATGGAGAGTTTTTTAGCAGAAGAAAGTAGGACACACTGATTCATTTATGTTAAGCCTGTGACGCTAGGATAATCCCATGTGCAGTCTCTGCTACCCCGTTTATGAGTTATAGGGTTGTGGGACTGGATCCTGAACATGATCTAGTTTGTTAACCAGGAATATATGGCACAATGGCCCAGGGTTTATTATGAAAGTAACAGATGTCTTCCCTTAGCCCAGAGATGCAGATTCTGTAGAGCTGCCGCACCACCCAGACATCTGTATTCTGAGTGCCTTTTCCCCCTGTAAAAGCCACCAGCTCTGTATTTTATAGATAAGAAAATCAGGGCAAAGCAGAACAACTTGCCAAGAGTTGGTTTAGTGGTACAGGATTATATCACCAAATAATGTATAATTCCAAAATTTTTTGGCTTGGAGTTTTCTACATCATCATTCTAGGGGCTTTTTATATAGTTGAGTATGAAATGCCCGTCTTCATACCATTTCCAGGAAAGATATGAATGCAGAGAAGTGGTGTTTTGTCAAAGTCTGTCTGCTGTTCTGGCCATAGTACAGACTGAAATGTGACCAGAATTTCCACAGTTTTAATTGGTGCTTTTTATTAATGTCAGGGATTATTGGTTATTTGCAACACTTTTATTGTCTACTCTGTGGTACTCAATTTTTTTTAAATACTGTATTTTTTATGCAGAAGTGAAATATTAAAATTTCTTAGTGGAATTATTTTTAATCTTAACTGAAATACAATATTGTGTGAAAATTTGCACTGCATTATTACAGTCTTTTTAAAAATCTGGTTGATTTGTAACTTTTCTTTTTTTAAGGCCTCTTACCTTGGAAACAGCACAGTTGGCTTCCATGTCATCTTTGAATATGAGAGATAATCCTAGTTTCAGCATATCCTCAGTAGAGACCAACAGACCAGGTTTATTCCTTCAAGAAGTCTCCCCAAACGGCAACCATTTGCAGAAGTAAATAATACCTGTGAGTGGACTGGATGGCCTGAGGACTCATTAAGATATTTGTGGAAGAATCTTAAAAAACTGAAGAGAAAGTGCATTTCAAGAAGCAACTCCAATGTCATTTAAGATATTTGAGCAGCTAAAAGAAGATAGTTATGATAATATGAATGATAAGATCCTAGCACACTTTATGTATTTCTTACATTACCTTTGTTAACCCATCCACTTTGTTTATTTTCAACTACTGCATTAGTCCACTTTACTTATCGGAATTTTATTATGGATGGATGGAAAAGTCACCTCAGTAGGAGAAATATGAACCACGCACTGGGATATTGGCCCCAGAAATGGACTCTGAGTAATTATTAAAGGGTGTGGTGTGTAGATGAATTATTTCTTTATAATGATGTGATGCTTCTTGTTCATATTTATTGCAATTTTAGTTTCATCTTCCTTTATCTATGCCCAGCCTCTGTAGATGGCTACTTTCTTGTTGAACGGTTTTTGGCATTGAAGATCTGATTATTATAATTTTTCAGTTTAAAATAAGAATTTCATTTTCATAAATAGACGGTTGGTGCACTTGCTATTCTCCCTTGGATTATTTTCCAGGATCAAGAATAGAATAGTTTCCATTCTTTTCCATACTGTTGATCTTTACTAGTTTTATGTTCTTTCCAGTGTTTTGTTGATGTTCTTATTTTCTAGATGGAAATCAGGGTGGTCTGCATGTTCTGTTTCCAGTTTTTTGGGAGACTAGGAAAACACAAGTGATAGAACTTTAATGGAAAATTTATAAATTCTTCTTTGAAAGCTTATATCAAACTTCTTTTTAGCAATATTGATGTTATCTTACAATAAGTAGCAAGGATTTCTTTAAATGCTGCTAAGTTAAAAAAGGGGGGAAACTTCTTATAATTAACAAATGAAAATGTCATTAAAGTCATTAATGTGCATATACACATTTTCAGTAAGAAATTACTTTGTTGGTTGGAGTTAAGAGTATTTGACCTGGGCTGGGAATGTAGCACAGTGGTGAGCACTTGCCTAGCGCTATTGAGGCCTTGGGTTCAATCTCCAGCACCGCCAGAAGAAAGAGTAGTTGGCTTGAGTTAATTGTGTTCAGCCTTTCTTACTTGTTAGGACCTCATCATCATTAATGGTGAGTAGACCTCATCAATAATTTTCTGTAAATTATAAAAAATTTTGCTCTTAAGAATCAAGTTTTACTCAACAAGGAGAAATGTAAGAAAACGATTTTTTCTTCTTTTTTTTGGTACCACGGATCAAACTCAGATCCTTGTGTTTGCAAGGCAGGAAGCAGAACCACTGAGTTAGATCCACTGTGGCCCAAGAAGAGATTTTTAATTTAATGAAAATTCCATAAAACATTTGGTTAATTTTCCTGTTTCTATCTCTAGTAGGCCAGTTTCTCTTCATTCTTACTTCACTTTCTACCCTTTTTTCATTATCATTTGGTCCCACTTTTTCTTTTCACTCCAGAGTTCCTTGTTTGATTTCTTTCTATTTCACCTACTCTCTGCCTTGCTCACGTCTCCCACTTGGAATGCTTTTTATTCTCTTTCCCTCCTTTGATGTAGACATGCCTCTGTCTGCCACCTCCAGTCTTTTGTTGTTATCTTTCATAACCCAGCCTGTCACCCCTGCCTGCTCTACCTCATGTCCACTTGCACTCCATGCGCACCCTGTCCTTGACGGTCCCTTCTCCTCTAGTGCAGTCTTCATCTGCTTCTGTCTGTATAGCACACCAGTCTGTCCTGTGCCATCTAGCTCTGTTCATCCTCAACCCTAAATTATGTTGCTTTCTTCCTGTACTTTTTAGTCATTGTTCATTTACTCCATGCATTTTTTTCTGTTTTCCCAGACCCTGGGTGGTAGGCATTACTAGATGGATTTATTGTTGGTCTTTGCATAGAACACAGATCCTTGATGTGCATTTCCTGAGTAGCCAGAACAAATCAAGTATTATTAACTTTCCCTAGAACGTTGCGCTTCCTGTTTTCTAAGAATTAGATTGGTGTTCTGGAAGACTAATAGTAAAGAGAGTCAAGACAGTCATGTGGTGCTGACGTTAAAGAGTTACACACACTGGTAACACCTGTCTGAAAGGTTAACAAACAGACAAGTCAAGCGTGGGCTGCGGGCTGGGGGAGGACAGTAAGAGGGAGGTAAGTTCTTCTACGGAAGGGTTCATATTAATAATCATTTAAAATGGAAGAAACCTGAAACCAGAGCTTTAGCATTTATTAGATAAAAGAATAAAGACATTAGTAACTATGTTAACTAGTTTTACTATGGCATCATTTGTATTTTTGCATTTCTTCTAAATTCTAAGACCTTTAATGTTTAAAAAGATAGAGATTTACTCTTGTAAGTATTCCTTTTAGTTTGAAGGACTTGCTGTCTCCTTAAATATTAACCGTTGTCATTTTGTAATTATACTGTAACATTCTCAAAATGCCCTTAACCACTGACTCGGTAGTTTCTTGTGTGGGAAAGCATATCAGTTGTGTGGTCTTGCCCCTTGGGACTCTAGTATTATAATTAAAAGATAGCTTGTGGCAAGACTTTTATCTTATGCTATTTGTTTATTCACATTTTCTCATAGTATTTTTTTTTCAGTTTGTATTCTTGCATGTGAATGTGGTTCTGTGCTGTGATTTAGTCTTTTATAATGTGTGTAACTGTTGGAGGCCAACTGACGTGAGTGAAGTTCTTAAATGTAACAAGGGAAATTCCTGTACAGTGCACACAGTGGTGTTAAGACACTCAGAAAAGCCTTCCTGCTAGGTGTTGATCGTGTTGAATATTCTTTCTTCCTGGACCTTTCCTAGCTGTGCTGGTGCTTGTTGGGTGTCTCAGAGATGAAGGAGCAGCTAGTTATCTAGCAATGGTATGTGAGAGTCTGCGTACTCCAGCAGCTAGTAAAATGTGGCCCCAGAGCCACAGTTTGGCCACTGGCAAGCAATTTATATAGATGTGCTAAGTCTGTGCCTGTGTTCTGGGACTGTGGAAAGGAACAAGGTATGGCTCATTCTCTCCAGAAACTCATAATTGGCTATGAATATTGATACATGAATGATTGTACTATATTGTGGCAAAGGGTAAAATACACATAATTAACATTACTTAGAGGAACAGACTGAAGAAAGTATAGATCAAAAACCTAAATAGGTCAGATCTATGATACATATATATTGGGTATATAAATTCTATGAGGTAATAATTTCTGTGTGCCCTTTATTATCTGTATAAATTGGCAACTTACAACATTCAGCCTCAGTTTCTTCATCTTTAAAATGGTGATAATGAGTAGTGTTGATCCATGGATTAAATGAGATAGTCTATATGAGAAGCCAGTATGGTCCTTTATTCGATTATTGTTTAGAATTTGGAGAACTAAATAGGTGATAGGGAACACGGTGTAGGAAAAGAAAACTTTGTGGGTAGTTGTACACTTATCACAGATAATGTGTCTTAAAATGCATGGATTTCCAACTTTATATTTGCTTTTCTGGTTATTTTAAGAAAACCAACCATATATCTTAAAGTCAATCCCTTTTTTCTTTTTTATAACCAAAAGAAGTTTATTTAGTTTCGTCTGTTTACTGTCTTTATTAATGACTTTTTTCTCATCTCATAAATCAAATCCATTTTCAAGGAACTTAAAAATTATAACAGTTGAACATATTTCAAAAAATATGCTAGGGCCTAGTAAAGGTCAACACTAGACTACTTTAAAGTAAAAATTATTAGATACAGAAGTTTTGGAGTATGTTATAAAATCAGTCTATTACATGTACAGTTCCAGCTTTGGGTATATCTACCAACCTGACTGAGTATTTCCTGGTTTATATATGTATGTGTTTTTGAGCCTTGAGCAAAACTAGCTTTTTTGTTATTTTAAACATTGGTGTTTAAATTAACTTCCTTCAACAGAAACAGCCTGAACAATTTGCATCTCTGGTGTAGAAGAAATTAGCACAGCAATTAATATTATTTGATGGCAGTAATGTGATATTTAATATTACATGGTAGATTATCCTAAGTTACCAGATTTGGGTATGTGACCTGGATCATATGATAAATCAGGTTGGGTAAATTTTTCACTTGAAACAAATTCATTCTTCTAACCTGGGTTTTTTTGCCTTTTGAAATTTCAGTAATTCTAGTGTGATTAGATTTTTCTATCATGATTTTTCCATATCATAAGGATTATAACTGGGGTAATTTAAAATTACAAATATGGTCAGCCCTCCATATCCACTGGTTCCATACCCACTAGTTTCACATCTGCTGATAGAGCCAACACTGGATCCATTTTTTTCTTTTCTTTTCTTTTTTTTTTTTTTTTTTTT